TTACTAACTTTATTATGGCTTATTTTGAGTGTCAAAAGATGTGCTATATTTGAAACATATACATTTAATTTCAACAAAGTGTAAGATATTGCTTAGACTAGTGATATAAAGGTTAGAAAAACACTATATTGTGACTTAAGTAAGTTTATAGTCTCTCACCAAAAGATTCTGGAGTTTAAAGTTTGTTCTTTGATGTTAACATTGAGGGAGATATAGATCAACCATATTTTTTTCTATTTTTTAGAGTTAAGGGATGACCATTCAAAATATTCTTCTTCTCCTTGTTTCAGAGAAAGAGAGCACATGCACAAATGGGAGAGGGGCAGAGAGGAAGGAGGAGAGAGAGAGGTGTGTGTGTGAGAGAGAGAGAGAGAGAGACAGACAGAGAGACAGAGAGACAGAGAGAGATAGAGAGAGAGAGAGAGAGAATCTTAAGCAGGCTTCACACTCAGTGTGGAGCCAGACATGGGACTCCATCCCACACATGGGATCATGACCTGAGCTGAAATCAGGAGTCAGAGGCTCAACCAGTTGAGCCACCCAGGCACTCCCACACAATATTCTTATTCTTTTATTAACTACTTATTAACTAAATTTTAATCAGGAATTTATAAACCCAAAGAAATTATAAGTGATATAGAATTAAACAATTATAAGCTTGAGTTCAATACCAAATACATATAAATAACTCATAAAAATGGTATGTATAGCATAACTATGGATAAGACCTCATTCATGCTCTCCCCCAATCTCGTGGAATATTTATATTATGTTTTAGGGATTAGTTCAATCATCTCATTTTATTATCAGAGAAATAAAATTTAGAGACACAAAAAAAGGTGAATTTTAGGCCAAACCCACAGAAGAATTTAGTGTCAGAATTGGAAATGGACATCACATCTCTCGCCTCAATTTAAGTTGTGCTTTTATAAGACTCTTCTAGGATAAGATTCAAACATTTCAAACATTAACCAAGTTAATTTTTTGAAGTTCTGTGAACCATCACTGAAGGTCTGTAATTACAGTATTCTTAAGAAATGCTCTTAATATTAATCATTTAAATAATTTTTCCAAAGCATCTGATTGCTTTCCCCATATAGACTTAAGTTGGGTTGTATTCACACAATGTCCTGACAGAGCCTTATTCTAGGCAGTTTCATTTTATTCATACTTTGGCTGATTTAAACCATTTCATGAAAAATATTTAATGGCATCTTCTGTTTATGTAATGCTAATATTAAACTTTTATAGTCAGTCATTTAATACAATAATTTTGTTATCCAGGAAATATTATAACCTATCATACTTTACCTGCTATTTTTAACATGGAGGCAGTACTTACGTTGATTTGCATACTTACATTTATGCAAATCTCTAAAACATGGGAACTCTGAAATATGGGATGTTGATATTTTAAGAGATAATTATTGAAACTATCTTATGAATTTAATTATACTGGTTAGAGAAGAGCTTTGTTTTTTTCTTAGCATAGAAAGTATTTCATTTGAATGAAAGCTAAAATAAACTAAGAGAATCACATCAAAATATTACATAGGTTTTTTTTTTTTCATTTTTCTTTTTGGGTTAATAAGTGTTAAAACATACATTTCTGAGACTTATGCCTCCTACCTGACTCTTTAATTATTGTGATAGGTTTTTTTTGCTTAATTTTGTAGTCACAATACAAACCATTTATTTGAAATCAGCAAGGAGTATATTATACAGTAAAATATATTTCCTTCACATTTAAACATTAAATTATATCTACTTGTGTAATTTAGGCTTCAAGTAGATTTCCTCTTTCTTATCACAATATTCAAAACATTGTATTTTACATATAAAATATGATACATATTTTCATGCATGGATATATATTTTTTCATACACTGTTATTTCAAGTGCTAATGTGGTATAGAGACTTGCTCATCTTAATTAATGCAACACAAACATTGGTTGTGTTATTTATTTTTATTTTGACCTAGAGTTGTAAATTAGATCTAGTACTATTTTTGACAGCTCATAGTTTGTGTTAATCCATCTCAGCCTATCTTCATATTGCTACTCCACACATTAAAAGTTGTAAAAAACAAGCAGGTTACTAAATGTTGCAGTTGTAAGTAACATATTAATAACTCATTAATTTACAGAAATGCCCTAAAAGACTCAAAAACTGACCAAATATTTAATGTATTAATTCAATTTTAGAAATTTCTGGTTTCTTCTTTAGAATTATTTTACTTAATTTTAGAAAAAAGTGCTTTAGAGATATGCCAGCTATGGTCAATTTTCTAATTAAAAGCCACCCAGCTCCTTCGTCATTAGCCATCTTGCAACCATAAAGAAGTAGATCAGCCTCTACACTGAGAATGGCCGGGCAGAGGGTTGCAAACAGGTTGGATTTGTGAAGGTAGGATTGTGCTGAAGTTGGTTTATCACCATCTGAAGCAGTAAACATTCTCTCCAACACAAAGGGCAAGATTTTGTCCTAGAGCGTTGAAATTACTCCATAAGTAGGTTCTTGACAGACCGTGTGTTGCTGGATGGGTAGGATACATAGAGAGGATGTCCTTCAAATATGCCTCTCCGCCCCCATATGTCCTCTTTCTCTTGTGTCTCCTGGCTACATTTCTAAGAATTGAATAATGAGAAACAATATACGCAACATGCCACAGCCTCACGGACTGCAATGCTGGTGTGGAATGCTCTTATCCTTTAATTTTGTGACTCCTTTAGGAATGCTGTGTCATTAGTATTTAAATCACTTCATAAATATTTCACTTTAAATACCATTGTAATGTCTTGTGTATGCCTTAATTTGTGTCTAACATAATGGTTTTGTATAGTGAAACAATTTCATCAGGGCACTTATACGATTAAAAACAGATTTAATGGAACACTTTATCTTTACTTTGAGTTGACCATGGAACAGAAAGCAAAAGGCTATTTAGTTTCTGCAGAAATAGCTTCTTATATTTAGATAATCTTTTTTAAAGAAAAATCAACATATACATGTCTCCCAATACATACTCAGGAAAATTGTATACACTGCAGTTTGAGTGGAAGAAAATGCCCAGAGAAGCAGGGTATAAAACCCTCAAGGTCCTGGGATAACCTTGTGTAGGGTGAATGAAGAAAGGAGTGGGAGAAGAATGGAAGGTACAGACGAAGGTTAAAATGTGGGGACTTTTTTAGGATTACGTAAGATTTTTTTTTTTTTTTTTTTACATCCTTTTCATTGTTCTTCCGTTAGAATGCCATTCGAAGGTATTCAAGAATTTGAGGATCTATGGGCACGTATTGGAAAACTTCTGAAAGGTAGTACCTGCAGCAGCATTTGTTTATGTACATGATGGGGAAAAGATCCATTTTTTTCCTCACTCCCCTCCTAAAGGTGTTTCTGGGGAAGCTCAAGAAGCAGGTTTCTTTTATTGAGCATCCCATTATTTATACAGTTTGTTCTATTTTAATTGAAAGTTCTCTTGAACTTACTAAGAAGAGAATTATATCTTGTGCTGAGCATCTGTTAGAGCATCCAGACAGTTAAGCAATAATTGCTCATTCATTACAAAATTTTCTTTTGTAGGCTCATCTGATAACAGAGTAGTCATCTGCTCTTGTTTGCTATAATAATTCTATTCTTGATCATGAAATAACGATTATGAAATATTTTTAAGTTCCATTCAAATACGGGAAAAGAAAATTTGGAGGAAATAACACCAAATTATAAATGAGCAAAACTTAAAATTTTAACCTGCAGAAAAGTTAAATTGAAACCACTAAGTCTGCATGCTAGTGGTTTTGAAATTGACTCTTTTAATTGTCTGGTATACAGTTTGGCCTTGGAAACAAAAAAAGAACACTACAGAAAGAGGAATTACTGTTTTCAGGGAAAAGAACATTACTTTCTCTTAAAAGACAGTAAGTGCACCAACATTGAAGAGAATCATAGATCACTCTAAATTTTAAAGGAACTTAGTGCCGGTAATTGTATATTTAAATCAAGACTGACTTATTTCCAGAGAGCAGAAATAAGTTCTCCTTCTTGAATGATGTCTATTTTTCCTTTATAATTGACATCCCTGGGGTAGAGTCTGTCGAAGACTGTAACATCAAGGTTGTATTTTTTATAAACTGTGCTTAAAAGGAATGATCAAGGGATAGGCAAAATGAAAGAAAATTTAGGAGACATGGAGGCAAAATTAGAATTTCCAAAGAATGAAAAGGATCCCAGAGGATAAAATAGATAGAATTAGGGGAGATGATGTCCAAAGAAAACAGTGACAGAAAATATTCATAGTTAATGAAACATATAATCATATTTTTGAAGTTTAGGAAGTCCTGACATTTTTTAAAAAATTTTTACATTCATTTCTATATATATCCCAGAGAGACTTTTAAAAATGCAAAGTGGATTGTCTTATTAGAATAGTTAGATTTAATAGATTACCTGTAGATTTTTTCAAAGACAACAGTAGATGTCAGAAGATAACATAGCATGGGGTGCCTAGATGGCTCAGTAGGTTAAGCATCTGACTTCAGCTCAGGTCATGATCTCATGGTTCGTGAGTTTGAGCCCCATGTCAGGCTCTGTGCTGACAGCTCACAGCCTGGAGCCTGTTTCTGACTCTGTGTCTCCCTCTCTCTCTCTGCCTCTCCCCGTGCACACACTGTGTCTTTTTATCTCCCTCTCAAAAATAAATATACGTTAAAAAAATTTTTAAAAGACAGCAGAACACAACCATGCCCTATATTACTTGTGTAAAGTACATCAATTTGAAAACAACCATGTTCACCTGCAGGTGTAGAAGGATCATGGCTTGTTATGTACTCCCCTCTATACTAATATGCTGTCTTCAAATACCTTGCATTTTGAGATGAGTTGCTTGCCATAGGCCTTCTTTCGTTGCCAGAATAATAGCATCATTGTTGCTTCTTTTAAAGATTACCCGTTTACCATGTGGGAGATATCATATCACTTGTTTCTGCTTTGTAGTCTAGCCCATGTGTCCTCTCTTCCTCTGTGCTGGAAGTTGTCCTCAAGCACCTCCTCAGTTGACTCAGGGTGAGTTAGAGCCGGAGGGGGAGGGCTAAACATATCTACACTGTTCTTTGAGTCAGTGTGAAGGCAGACCAAGTAGCAAAAGAATAACTATGTCAGCTTGAGACAGTTGAATATAACTCAAATTGGGAGAAATAAGGTAGATGTGAAGTGAACGTCCTTCAAATTGGAACATGTTTAAAAACACATTTAAATACAGGCTGCAACACACAGCATTCAGTATGCTTCTATTAAATTCCCATATGGTACAATCATATTCTAACATCTTCAGATTGCTGAGAATATGTGTAATAAAACCATGACTTGACAAGAAAAGATGAAATTAAAAGCCACTTTACAAAAAGACTGAGGGGAATTTACTTCTACCTGAAGAACGCTGAAAAATAATAAAGAATTTGGAAAAAAGACGATTGATCCTCAGTGAAAAGTTTAAAAAGAAATATTGACGATCAAGTAAATGACATTGTGTATGTCAGAAATAACAATAATGATGGGGCGCCTCGGTGGCTCAGTCAGTTAAGCGTCTGACTTCGGCTCAGGTCATGATCTCACGGTTTGTGGGTTCGAGCCCCGCATTGGGTTCTGTGCTGACAGCTAGCTCAGAGCCTGGAGCTGCTTCAGTTTCTGTGTCTCCCTCTCTCTCTCTGACCCTCCCCTGTCCACGCTGTCTCTCTTTCTCTCTCTCTCTCTCTCTGTCTCTCTCGCTCTCACTCTCTTTCTCCCTCTGTCTCAGAAATAAATAAAACATTTAAAAATTAAAAAAAAAAGAAATAACAGTAATGACAAGTTCACCTGATATGCAATGAGGTAGAATTATTGTGCTGATAAATACAGCATATACCACAGAGGTCGGTCATCAGAATTAATGGAGTCCATGCTCAGTATTTTTTTTTTCACAGAGAATAATGGTAAAATTAACTTTTTTTAAAGATAAATTTAAATAATAGCAATTGTCTATAGTCAGTGAAGAATAGACATATAACCTCAAATGTCTGAAACAAGAATAGATAAAGTAAGAGGGGGGTTAAAGACTAATCACTTTCAAGGAAGGTTAGAAAAAGGGCAACTGAATAAAGGAAAAGCAAGGTTAAAAGAACACACGAAAAATGGATGGTAGCAACAAATCTAGATGGTTCAATAGTGATGGCAAATTACTAGTTAAAAAGGAGATTGGTGTTTCGATTTATTTTTTTGTTTATATGATTTTTACAAATCTAGGTGAATTTCTTTTACAAGAATACAGAAGACAGGTTGAATTTTAAAAATGAGAGGATAGGGGCTCAGTTGGTTGAGGGTCCACCTTCAGCTCAAATCATAAACTCAGGATTCATGAGATCATGCCCCATATCAGGCTCTAGGCTGACAGCTTGGAGCCTGGAGCCCGTTTCAGATTGTTTGTCTCCGTCTCTGCCCCTCCCTCTCTCACACTCAGCCTCTCTCTTTCTGTCTCTCTCTCTCTTTCTCTCAAAAATAAAATTAACATTAAAAAAAATAGTGAGAAGATAATGTTGGTATTTTGGCACAGAAAACGGAATTACTTTCAATCAAAAATCATTAACTGAGTTTTTGGTCACTACAAAATGATAATGAAAAATTCACCTGGAAGTTTAACATTAAATTAGAATACAAACAATAGTATATATGTTTGGCATAATTACAAGGAGAGATTGTCAAATTCATATCATGAGAAAACAGTACAATTGCACTATTTTCTATGCATTAAGAATATAGGAAAGTTTTTTGGGTTAGAAATTTCTTCATTAGGTTTGAAGCAACACAGAACACAATAAAATAGCCCTACCCCTGAAAACTTTTGACTGATCCACTTGACATTTCTGAGCTTCAGGTGTCTCAACTATAAAATGATTTACTTCCGTTACATTTCTTTGATGAGCTCGAACATTCTCTTACAAATAACACTATACATATGACAATACTTCAAATACAATCTTCACAACTTCTGCTTCCAAGAAGATGGACTAGACACAATTTTTCCTGTTCCTTCCATTAAGCACAACTAAAATCTCTGCGCATTATTCAAGAAAACTCTGAAAGGTCTAGAGTAGAAGACAAACCAATCAGGGATTTCAAGACACAAGGAATGATGTGATGATGGTGAGTTCTGTAGGCCTTCCCATAACCCAGTGTGTGTAGGAGAAGGTGGTAACCCAGAAATGCCGTTGGGTGAATACAATATAGGCCTCAACAAGATCTTGCTCTTTCTAGCCAGATGGTCAGAAATGGTGATGATACAGAAAATATTTAGCCAGCACTGCTCTATTCGACCAATACACCCTGTAAACAGTGTGTAGTCCTATCCATATCCACAATAACAAAGCTCCAGTGGGACACCTGGATTTCCACACTTGTCAACTTGTAGTGAGGTAATCCAAATACCCCATGCCCTGCTACAGTGAGAAGGCCATGTAGGGAATTGGGATGTTCACCTCTGCCAGGAAGTTACCATGAACCTCTTTCAACAGTGTCATTGGAGATCACAAGAAGGAGCTAGGCTTCACCCTCTGCACAGCAGTAATGGGGTGTATCACATCCTCTCCAAGTGGAGGAGTGTAGAGGACTGCTGGAGAGTCAGGACTTCCGTCAGTTACCTGGGTCCACAAGGCTAACCATGACCGCCATATTGTCAGTTGAGGCCGTATGTGAAGCAGGAATAATTTCCCCTGCTCTTCCTACTAAGATTCTCTCAGAAGAGGCTAAGGAGAGAAACAGGATTCCCAGTAATTCTGTAATTAATGGGGAGTAATGAGGAGCCTCTCCCCACCTTTCAAGTCATTGGCCTCTATTGTCACAGCCTACAGCCCTTTATTTGAAGAGCTGAGCCTGATGACTGTAAATATAAGTAGGGTCTTTACAACAATGTAATTAATTAATCAATTTGGAGCCATTTTCACATTAAAGACTTTTTTTAGCCTGGGTTCCTTGTTCCTTAGTCAATATATTGTCCTCAGAACTGAGTTTGTTCTAAACACTTAGATATTTTAATAACCGATCCTAAAATTTTTTATAAGACATAACCTTTAAATATCCTTTATCTCATTGCTTTCTTGTTCCAGTGCCTCTTGCTCCAACCACACCACAGCAGATCTTTATTGCCTCATTCATGAAAAGTTTCAGTAATCATGTGCTGTTCAAAGGCTTCTAAAATTTTATTTTCAACTCTTTGAGATGGAGTTGCAACCTGATTTTTAACATTGAAAAGTAACGAATCTGGAACTTTTCTTTACTCTTTCTTTCTACTTATAAGTCTTCTGATTTCTTCCTGAACTCATCTGTCTCGTCACATTTTGCCCAAAATAGTCAATATTAACCAGCCCTTACACATGTGACATTGTTTCCCAACTTTTTACCTCATAGCTTCTAGCAGAAAGACCTATAATCATTCTATCAAAGTTGACAATTTTACCGGAATTTTGCTGATACAAAACAGATCTTTTCAGGATTCAGTGTAACATCCTTATTGCTCACTACTTAAATGCTAAGCCAATGACACATAAAGAGTTTTTGTTAACACCCTATTTGTAAATACAAATGGCTGTTTAGGGTGGGGTAAGCTATTCCATGGAAGCAAAGAAACTTAAATATCCCAGTTAATTTAATACAACAGAATTTTAGATCTTGCTCAAACAACAGAACTTTAGTTCTTGCTCAAACAAATGCAGCTGTTCTCTACATAAGTCATCAGGCTGATTCTCTTCTGTGTATTGACTCAGAGACACAGATTCTTTCCATCATTGTTTCCATTTTTCCTCAGAGTCTTAGTGTTCCAACTCTAAATTATTAGTATCTAACTGTACAGTGAGCCAACGTAGGAGGGCATGCTCAAGGGTCTGTGGCTGGGTCAGAAATTGTCATGCATCAATTCTGATGTCTCAGACTGGTCACATGGTCTCACAAGAAGGGAGTCTTGCTAGTGTAACTTCATGTGTGCCCTGGAAGAAGTGAACTACATATTGGTCAACACAAGGCTCATTAATGTGGAGCTTAAAGAATTTGATCTCTGGATGGACCTCCCACTTAAAACGGTTATTATAAAAAAGAGAAAAGTGAGTTTTGATAGCCAGATAGCAGACTTCATCCCAAGTATAAACTTAAATTTCTTGAGAAATCTTGGGACTTAGGGCAGTAAGAATCACTATAAATGAAAAAAGTATCTTTGAAGCACTTTTTTATTTTAGAAGTTCATATATTAGACTTTACTGTGTAATATATCAATGCTATTTTAACATAAAATTACCTTTCGCAACTATACAACTTTTGGTAAAGTAGATGCCTTCAAAATATGAAATACTTCAATATCTATTCATCAAATATATATGGAGTACCTCCTCAATGACCAGCATGAAGCAGAGATGTGGAAGGCAGCTGTGATTAGAATGACCTGGCTTCCAACCTCACAGAGTCTAAATCTGAATGGATTTGATATTTCTCCAGCAGCATTCCTCTGTGTCCTGTACATTAACATACCCCAACTCGAGAAACCATTTTCTGCACTCCTGAGAGGGATACAGGTTTAATTATTTAAAGGAATCCCAGATTTACACCGGTTTAATGGTCATCTCAGGTTTTACAGCTCATGAGTCATTCAAACAGGATCCAATTTCAGTTCTTCCGTGTTCTTGGCAGGTAACGTATTTTACCTTGCTGTTTTACCTTGCCTTGATATTAAAATCAAGCGGATTCAGTGATATTATGGAGGGTCAGAACTGAGATGAGCTCTGACTAGAAGTAATATCCGGAACTCTGGGAACGTTTGAAACATTTGAAAGGGATCAGGATCTTTTGTTTATTTGTGTGTGTTAGGTTAATGTATTATCTCACATTTTTGATCCTTGTATTTAAGTTTTCCCGCTTATTAGTTAATGGAACAAGTATGAACTAAATCAAAACATATTTTGTAGTCTTTAATAAATCATTGCATAGTAAAAATAAATTATTTCTAGAAAATGTGCTGGAGAAGATAGTACATTTTCCTTAAAACATAGAAAGATCTATCTAACAATGGATAGAACTTTACAGCATTTGATTTTGCTAATTAAGAGTAAATAGACTTACTTGAATTACATTTGTCCTGATTAATACCCCAGAAGGCAGTCTACCACATCTAAAACTTTTTTGGAGTTAATGATAGATGCTGAAAAGTGTTGTCCACTAGATTTAAAGCCAGTGATTTTCAAGAAAATTTACACTCTATCTGGAAGTTCGAAGAGAGGAAATATGCAGTAAGTGCAATGCCTCTGATTATAATTGCCTTTTATTTTCATCAGAGGTATTTGACATTTTTATTCAAATGCTCCACATGTTAAAAGCAAAGCCAATAATAATTTCAAACTCCTCAGCCCTGATAAAATTAGTTTTAGGACTTTGTACACATAGGGCATGCATTAAAATGATACTTTATTATAAGATACGAATGTTGAATACTAATTGTTTTACAGTGTATCAAAAGAGTTCATGCTCCTTGTAATTACTTTTTAAAGCCACATGTGGAGAGAGTGAAGAAAAGAAAAACCCTTCATATTTCATCCTAAAGATTCTTGTCCTGTTCTATCAAACGGTGTTGGTTTTTTACCCACCGTTTTATGTACACAGCATCATGAAGTTTGTTAGTTTGACTTACATTTTAAAAGTAGGCATCCTTTCTGTTTTAGCTCAATGCCAGTTGTGCGCCGACTGCCTGCTGCTTCCCAAGTGCGTATCTAGAATTTTGTAGTTTAATTGCCACTTGCACAGTGGTATTGTACATAAACACAGCAGCTGCTACTGTATGTTGGAAGTGGCTCAGAAAAATCTATGGACACTGTTCAGCTTTGACTAAAAAGCCAAAAATTTTAGACCCAGCTGCATTACTCTAACAGCTTGGCAGTATAACACCTTAACAAAAAGATTTCAACTCATTGGAAGTCTACTTACAATATGTTTGAGACCACACTAGAGAAAATTGTGTGGAGCCATGTGGTCTAGGGGCAAAACTTTCCAAAAACGAAGATCATCTTTCCCTTTTTTTCTAGCCACAGAGGTCCTTATATTGTATTCGTTAGTATTCTGCATTGCTAGAGATAGCCACTAGAGATAAGAAAGCTAATATGAAACTTGGATATCTTCCTGTTACCAGGTAGAGATTATGTTCTTTTTGGTTAAACCAATTAAAAATGTGAAACCAAAGGGGAAATGCACAGAAACCTTGACAAAAGACCTGTGTTGCAGCAGCTTGCAGACTTTAATGAACACTGTTATGTGGAAAAAGTAGACTGATGTCACATTTAATGTAGTCATGAAAGAAACCTTCTCAGCTTATATTTAAGTATCTCTACATAAGTATTTTTTTGAAGCAGAAAGATTAGAAAGCCATTTTTCTTTTTTTTTTTTTTCACATACAAAGAAAATGCTGGGTACTGCAATAAAAGGAGAAATCAAGAGAACTTCATTCATTCCACTGCCTTGATATTTATTCCTTCCTTATACAGAGTTTTTAGGAACATTCTCTGAAGAATAAAGCTTTCCATGGAAATTAGAAACAAGATACTATAGATGTACTATGGAATATTATTGGTACCTTGATCTTGTCTTTTGATTAAGTTTAGAATGTCCAGGCTTGTTTAGCAAGATCTTGAGCTCAATTTCATTAGAAATGTGACACTATTTTTTTAACCCTTGTGTGAACCTGGGCTCTCCAATTCCAATAAAATGATGCCAGTAGTTAGGTCTGCCAATTTTGGTGTTTTGGGTATGTAAAGGAGAAAGAATATTAAGGTCTCTTGACTAACAGCTTCTGTTAGAGTACAGTGGTCCCAAATCCAGTGTCTGATTAGAAGGACTTGAAGAAATAATTAGACCTATTTGTTTCTCTCTAGGTGTTATAAATATTAAGAGACAGCTATGGTAGATATAGTTGGAGTCACGCAGAGAAATTTATATGAGGTAAATATTAAATAAAAGCAACCAAGCTTAAAATGTTTTCAAAGCTTTTATTAAATCAATAAAACTGTCTTGTAGTATTTATCTAATACACTCAAATGACCACAATCAAATTTATAAGTAATGGCTAAATATGTTAAGTCAATTTAGAAATTTGAATGCAATAGAAATATGTTTAATTAACAAATTATTATGGTACATATATTTAAGGGCATCACATTGAATATTATCCCCATTTTGAGAAGAACTATTCATGCCAATATTTCAGTAGTGGTTATGAGTAGAGAACAGAATTATAAGCATCTTTAATGTTTTGTTTGCTTTATCTTTTGTTCTGATTTTCTACAGTATTTTCATTAATACATCTCAAATTTCCTAAATGATTTTCCATAAAACCTAACCACCCAAAGATAGCAGTGCAATACCTATGAACTCAAGGTTTTTAGAGGCTTAATTTACATAACAAGAAATGTTAGTCACATTAATACCTAGGCACAGGGATGAAGAGAGAAGAAATGAACATGTTTCCTATAGAAGATACATTTGAAAATGTATCACAGTGTAGGTCATTGATCTCATAAAGAAGATATCAACAAAACTAAGGGAAAAGCAAAGATAAGGCACCTACTCTAAGTCTGTGAATTCTGTAGATACATGATTGTCTATACCAGAGAGGCATTCTGGCTATCAGAACTAGCTCTTACTGTCCCACTTGATCTTTTAAAGAGGACCTTTACATTCCTATAACTATAATTGATATAATCTTTTGATAAACCCATGATTACTCAGCTTTTACACTTGTATCAAAGCAAACAAAGAAACACCACCACCAACAACAAAAAACCCCCCAAAAACCAAATGAAATACCTTGCTGCTTATAGCAATGTGCATTTCTTTCTTGTTTGTGTGACAGCTATAGTTCAGTTTTTCCAACTGGCTTTGGGAGGGCGTTCTGTTCTCAGGGTAGAGAGAAATGAAAAGGGCCTGAGGGAAACTACATGAATAGAACATATGTAAAGCTTCTGCTTAACCATTGCATTTCAGGTCTGTTCAAAATCCACTGATGAAAGCAAGTCACATGACCAAGGCAGAAGTCACTGGGATAGATAAGAATATCCCATCTCCCATGAAGCACTGATGGAGAGAAAGTAATTATGAACAAATAGTATGTACCCTAATCCTTAGCCAAAGTGGTATGTGGCAGGTATTTATACCCACTGTTAAATAGTAATTCATTCAACTTTGCTTTAAGTAACATAGTTTGTAAATGTTAGATGTTTTTCCTTCCATTTTTCAACCCAACAGAATTTATAGATTTATGTGCAAAAGAGGGACTTAGTGATATCATCATGTTTGGAGAAAGATCAGTCTGAAATTTACAAATGTCCTTATACTGGTGAGGATTGGCTAGTTTGGTTTTGCAATTGGACTCTGTACGTGGATATCCTGTGAAATATAGCTGATGAAGTTGTGACTTCCTCTCTTGTTTCTTCAAGGCAGGGTGGTCCTCCTCAGGGACTTAGCCTTTTGATGTTTTCAGTGATGTTGCAATTATTTTTACCTGTCTGCTGCACCTTCTAGTTGGGCTCTAGACTGTACTACTTTGAGCTACTGTAGCACGGTCACTTCTTCTTTCATGGGAGTGGTTCCATGCAGATTTTTTCAGCTCTTATTACAGTTATATTAAGTTATCCCCATTGGGTGTGCGATAATCCTAGATGTTTTGTACTCTACAGAGGAACTGGGGTAGGTGCAGGACTGTGAGCCATTTAAACCTCTCGGGTCACTGTCATCATCCACTGCACTCTTCTTTAACTTTCCCCTACTTGTTACAAAATGTTGTGTTCTTTCTTGACTCAATAGAAAACATTTTTTTTTTTGTTCCTCCCCCCCTCCCCCGCCAGTGCTACTGTGCCTTCAATATTTTATTAAAGGACCTTTTCCTTTTGCCCCAATTCAGGAACTTAGAGGAAACATTTGGCATGTCCTTCAATCACCATTGTTATTAGGGATACCTGTTGCCCTGTCATTAATAATATCTTCATTTTTTGGAAAATTATTACCGTCTACTTATTCTAAGTTTATTTGTTTATTTTTGAGAGAGAGAAGGAGAGAGAAAGGGAACACAAGCAGGCAGAGAAAGGGCAGAGAGAGAGAGACAGAGACAGAGAGACAGAGGGAAGCATCCCAAGCAGGCCCCACGCTGTCAGCACAGAGCTCAACATGGGGCTTCAGTGCACAGCTAAGAAATCATGACCTGAGCAGAAATCAAGAGTCAGTCATTTAACTGACTGAGCGACCCAGCCACCCCCCTACTCATTCTATATTTTCTCTTCCCTATTTTTATAGATTCTTTATTTCATCATGTTGAACCACTTCACTTCTGTCCCATTTTAACTATTATCAAACACACACCCATTTTGCATTTCACTATTATTTAATTTTGCTTTACTATGAATATTTCAAAATCAACAGTTCCTCCTCTGACCAAAAATTCTTTCTTCAGCTTCTCTCATTTTCTCTTTCCATTTTATTCTGCTCATCTTGATTGTAAACTCTAGTTCTCTGAAACACATCACTTTTCTCACCCATACTGCTCTGAAATTTGGCTTGATTTCTGCAACCATTTTGATCTCATAAGAGGTATGATATGTTTAGTTCCCTGATTCTCTCCTCTTGTCAACGTCTGCCAAATCCAACTCAACCTTTCTTTGATTACACTGCTTTTCTTCCAGGTTGTATATTTTATATAAGGTTATAAAAAGTTGAGTTATTGAATTTAAATCCCTGCCACTAAAATTTTTCTAAATTTTTTGATGTGAATTCCACATGTTTCTCTTGTCTCTCAGGTATATTTTTCTAGAGTAGCTGTTTTAAAACACTCTCTGGGGGCACCTGGGTGGCTCAGTCAGTTAAGCATCCAACTTTGGCTCAAGTCATGATCTCTCAGTTCATGAGTTCAAGCCCCACATCAGGCTTTGTGTGGACAGCTTAGAACCTGCTTCCTGTTCTGTGTCTCCCTCTCTCTCTGCCCCTCGCCAGCTAGTACTCTGCCTCTCTCTGAAAGTAAATGAACATTAAAACTATTTTTAAGAAAACACTTTTTGTGGTTTTCAAAAATATCCACACTTCCACAAGCCTCCATCTCAATTTGCTTTTTGATTTCTAACTACTTTCAGAAAAACTTGTATATAAATTTCCAGTTTCATCTGAAGCAAACATAGCATCTCTCTCTAGTACCAGTTAGTCATGCTAACTTTTGCGGTACGGCTGTGATGTTATTACCTAAGGGACATGTTCTTGAGCTTCTTAAATATAGGAGATAGATTTTTTTTTCTACACCAGTTGTCAAAATATATGATCGGTGAGGTGAATTTTATTCAAATGGAAATTTTAGAAATATGCTTTAATTCAGGATTGTCGCAGAAAAGCCACCACCAACCATATCACTAAACTGTTGATCAGTCGCAGCCTTCTTCAGGACGCATCATCCAGTTTCTGTAATGCTGCACATGCACACAAACTAGATAAGTGTGTCTAGACTCACATCCTCCTGCTTGTTGAGCACAGCTGGAATATTGCTTCAAGCCACAGCATCATCACTCTCTACTACACTAGAAAATCCTGCCAGAGAATAAAGGGAAGGTCTTTTTGGAAAATATGTTTCTAAGAAAAATTAGCCAATAAAGATTTCCAAAGCATTCAGTGAAAATATTTTTTAAACCTTTAATGAATTATCTATGGGAGCATCATGTTTATTGCTTAGAAGGATCATCAGCATCATTTCTGCAAAGCCAGCAATAAGTTGAGTTATTTCAGAAATTTAAATTCCAGATTTTGAAGTTCAAAGCCTTGCAGATGGCATCTATTATACCTGTGTTGCCAAGTGTATAATATAGTTCCATGCATTCCAGTTAGATGCATTAGAAAACTATTTCGTGGGGCGCCTGGGTGGCTCAGTCGGTCAAGCATCCAACTTTGGCTCAGGTCATAATCTCACGGTTCGTGGTTTCGAGCCCCACGTCAGGCTCTGTGCTGACAGCCAGCTCGGAGCCTGGAGCCTGTTTCAGTCTGTGACTCCCTCTCTCTCTGACCCTCTCCTGCTCACACTTTCTCTCTCTCTCTCAGAAATAAATAAAACATTAAAAAAAAAGAAAACTATTTTGGAATGACAAAAGACATAATATGTTTTTAAATTTAATAAATATAAACAGAATATGAATGAATGAGGAAAGTGAGGATATTATTTCCTTATTAAAGGAATTAATGTCATAAGAAATTGTCCTGAATAATAAAATATTTTAACTTGAAAATGCCAATACTTTCTCCAAATTGTATATATTGTGAGGGTAGATCTATTTAGGAGAATAAGTACTCACATTAAAATAATAGTCAAGTAATAATTATTTTTATTTTTGTTAATAATAATTAAAATCATGTTAAAATAATCTGATCTGTTTGTATACTCATCAGAGTTCATCTTCATTCAAGAAATTTAAATAATCTATACTTACTGTAAAATTAATTATGCTTACTTTTTAAATTTGAGAATATGGTTTGGATAGTGGAGATTAAAATTAGACCTAATTAAAAAAGAAAATTCAATGAAGAAAAAATGGGAAAGGTGAAAGTAGATAAGATCTTGTTTGGTAGGGGGTGGGCTAGTCTCTTTCTCACATAGAGAATGAGATCAGATCCTTTATAATGACATAATAGAAGGAAAAACAAGGTGTGTGAGCACAGATGCAAAAAATTGGGTAGTTGAGATGGTTGTTTATAATGGAAATTTTCTTTTGAACTCCCTAAGTGAAACTGAAAGGAAGTCATCAACTAAGAGTAAAAATTGGGAAAGAGTTGTTAAAAATACAAAGAGAGATACGAAGATAGGGAAAAATCTTCCAGACAAGTAGGAGAGAAGTAACCCAGAATATATAGTTGTGTTAACATGTATTGAGAATTATTTATAGTTTGACTTTACCATAAACAACTGATAGGAGTTTAACCACACACACCAGTGTGAGATACCTTAGTGCTACTGAGATGTCCCACAAGCCTCTGGTCTTTGGGGATCATATGTAAAGAAAACAATTTTTGGGGAGTTTACAAATAATAGACAATTTTATTTTAGAACACTGTCTATCAGAGACTATGATATTCCAATCCAAATCCAGCAAAGTCTTTATAGATCCTTTGCAACATTATCTCTTGCAGCATGACAAACCACCTCAATACTTTGTGGTTAAAAAAATATCCGATCAGTTAGTTCAAATTCTGTCATTTGGCAAATGAGGTTGAGCTTGTTGAGTGATTCCTTTGCTAGTCATCGGACAGCTGCGTTGTAGCTTCATGCTCTGCAGTTGGAGACTGGCTGGCTCTCCTGGGGATGAGACCTATTGAGGCGTGTGGTTTGCTTCGTCCAACAGGCTTACCCAATTTTCCCCTATGGTGGTGGTGTAGGGTTTCCAAAAGCAGTAAGAAAGGAAGCCTGAACCCCTCTTAAAATCTAGGTTTAGAGCTTATGTAATGCCATGTTTGCAAAAGTCTATGATGGCCATGTAAAAAATCTAACATACTTTGTTTTATTGTTACAAGATCTTCTGTCTCATTTGCCCATATCCAACATGTGGAGGAGTAGGATCAGCTCTACCCTCAGTATATATCCTGGGTCCAATCACATCTTCCATGTTTCCACTGCTGTCATTTAGTTCCAAGCATTCATCCCCTTTTTGTGGGATTACTGCAGTGATTCCTTACCAGTCTCCCTGCTTCCCTCGAACTTATTTGGGTTCCAACCAAGCAGCTAATGATTAAGACCACTGCTCTTTCAACATAAAATTCCAATACCCCCAATACCTTCCTTTTACACTTAGAATAATTGCTTAAAGTTCTCATAATTGCTTTAATACCAAGCATTGTATTCACCATTTCCCCATGAACTGTATCATATCTCTCAGTGTTTGTGACATGTTGCTATTCTCCTCTTTCTGCGGTAGCCATACTGGTTTTCTTACCTCTTCTAAGATATACTGGGCACATCCATATAACTTGGTTCTTGCCTACCTGTATAGGCCAAAATATATAGGTATATATTTTTATGCTATATTCCAAACATCTGCATGGCTTTTTCCTTATCCCTTCAAATATCATCTTCTCAGCATGGTCTTT